CATCTGTCCACCCGTGGGTGGTAAATCTACTCCCAGGTCTCACTCCCCTTCCCCTGTATTTTGCTGTGAATACTGTATTGATCTACCAATAGTAAAACAAAACAAAACCAAGGTGTTCTTCATAAGTGAGCACAGAATCTTCAAATATCTCCTGCTCCCTCTAATTTATCTGGGAAGAGAATGCTGAGACGCCAGGTTGAGAGTGCAGCTCAGCTCCTAGTACTGAAGCCACAGTCCCGCCCTCAGTGCATGTGGAATAGGCAGGACTCCTATTCCACTCCTCAGGTTCAACACACTGAGAGCCAGTCCAGCTGTAGCTTCTGCAGGAAGCACAGCAAGGCCTCCAGCCCATTTCTCTTTCTTCAGGGGAAGACAAGTCAGGACTGAAAAGTGCTTAGTGCAGAGATTCTCATCTTTAATGGGCAGTATAAACATTTTGCTAATTAGCAATCCCACCAAAAATGGTCCTTTAATTCTCAAGTTCATGTCCATGCCCTATTCTTTTTCTTTCTTTTTTTTTTACACTATCTATGCCAGCACACTGTTAATGAGCTCATCTTTGAAACAGCGTTTCAATTAAATTTCCAAAGTCATTGAGAATGAGAGAGCAACTTACCCTGCTTTCATTAAAATGCTTTTCCTTTAAAGCCAGGCTTTTCCAAAACAGAAGAACGTGGTCATTTTCTGTTATGATTTTTAAGGCATCAGGTGCGGAGAGTGAAACTGAAAATTAAAGATGAGATGGGATGCAGTTAGTGGATATACATTTGAAACTCCATGTTCTTGTCTGTCAAAGAGAGTTTGAATAATGCTTGCCTTGGAGGGCTGGGTTACAGAAGAAACAAAACACATAGACCGCTGAGTACAGAACCTAGCACGTGGTGGAAATTCTTTATTGGCATCTCTTTTGTTGTTGTTGTAACATCTTTAGCCAAGAAATTTGGACGGTACTTAATTTAACAGCCCTTGTACCCAAGTGTATATTTAAAAAAATGGGGTAGGGTGGTAGTGAGGAAGGAATGGAATGGGATAAAGAGTTCCATCTGAAGACAGGACACTGGAGTGATAACGGTGCATGGCCCAGGCCCACGGCATGCCACCAGCTTAAACGGGGCTGGGCCTCTATTACCCAATATTGAAACTCCCAATAATACCTGCTGCTATCTGAGTAACCGAGCTTACTACCAGCTTTCTGACCTTCAGCCTGACTGCCCTTTGATCTACTGCCCAGCTACAGGTCTCCCTCCATTCCAACAGGTCAGATGGCCACAACGGACCACTGAGAACCTGTTAACCAGATCCTCAGATACAATATTTGGTCTTAGTGGTAACTATTCACTTTTATTTCCTAACTGCCTTGGGCATCACTCCTCTTTTTCTTTAGTAATACCAAAACAATCGAGGGGAGTTAAAGAGACTTAGAAAATATAGAAAATGACAGCCACTCCCCAGCCCACTGTGCTCTGGCCATGATGCTGCAGCCCACACACCAGAGCCTTCCTGTGAAACTCCTAATGAAAAGTCTGTGTCTGGAGGTCTAGCAGCACAGCACTGTGGGCACTTGGCTGTGCGAGAAGACCTCTAACCTCTCTCCTGCTTACCTGTGGTAATTTTTATGCTGGAGTCTTTGCTCATATTCCCCAGTTGGACAATGATGTGATATTTCCCACCAGGTTCCAACTTGTTAAGGGTGTATTCCACAGTACTGTTACGGGATTTTACTTTGTAGCTCCTGTCAGTCTTTCTTATTAGATCTTTAACTGCAATTGCATACAACTAGGACCAAAAAAGAACATCTGAATAATAATCAGAAACTTGACGTTTTTTACTCTTTCCCATGGTGAACAATGTAGTATATTAATAGCTGTGACCCACAGCAGCAATAGTTTGAGTCCCAAAGTATGTCTGACTCCATTCTTTGGAAAGCCTTTGGAGTGACCAAGTCCAACCTTAAAACAACTATTCACTCAGAGAATTGCACATAGAGTTATCAAGTAAAGTTTTTTAAGCCCTCTAGGGAAGGCCACATTTATCATGGTAGGTAGGCTGGAACAAGCAAGAAAATGCAAACTCAGTACTCAAGTTCCGTATCTCCACCACTGCAATAGTTCATGGATGTCGTCAGTGGAGAGAGAAAATGAACCCAAGTGTTCAATCCCGGCTCCACAGGGCAAGGCTCTACTTACTTTCTCCCAGCCTGCTTCTACATATACAAGGGGAAGGGGAAAATAACTGGGGCGTGTAGTAAGCTCAGGAAATTCAATCATGAGGAAGAAGTGGAGAGCTGAGAGAAATATTAGCAACCGAGCATTTTAAACCAACCACCGCTGGATGAAGGGGAGTGGAGAGAGGGCAGAGGTAAGAGCTGCCCAGAGCAAGGCTTTTTTTGTTTTTTGTTTTGCTTTGTTGTTTTGTTCAAATCAATGCTCCTTCTTTTAGAGGGGTCAGAAACTTTTTGCAAGGGTCCACACACAGTAAATACTGCAGGCATTAAGGGCAGATAGTCTCCACCACAACAACTCTGCTGATCGTTGCACAAGAGTAGTAAGATATAACATATAAACAAATGGGCATGACTTGATTCCAATAAAACTTTATTTAAAAAAGCAAAGGTGTGTTTGGCCTGCAGGTCTTTGTTTGCTGATCCCTGTGTGAGAGGGTCAGGGAAGGAAATGTGAGCAGCAGAGAAGAAGGAGCGACAAACCAAAATGGCAGCTGGGAATAATGGAGAAGTGACAACTAAGAAGAGGTCCCTATATGGGCCCCATTTTTGGCTAGACAGAAATGGGAGAGAGACCTCCTGCTGAGCACCAGAAACCAGGCCTGTGTTTCTTGCCCCATTAGAGGAACCCCTTCCATCCCACCCCATCCAAACCATGCCAAGAATAAACAAAGGGGCCTGGGAGCCCAGCCCACTCACCAAGTCCTGGTCAGGAGAGTCATATGGTGATTCCCACTTGATGACCACTGAGGTTTTGCCCATATGAACCACATGCAGGTGACGGGGTGGAAGCCTGCTGTCTGGGATCATCTTCACTACGACGTAGTCAGAGGAAGGCCCTTGGTAGGGTACCACTACCCGGACCTAAAGCCCCAGCACACACATAGGAAAAATATATCACAGCCTTATGCAATCTTTATTAAAGAATTTTTTCAACAAAATAATGACAATAAAATTTCCGTTACCAAAAAATAACATAAAATATAAAATAATTTCCACCTTCCCTAGATCACTTTCCAAGAGGTACCACCAATAAGAATGTTTTGCGCTTCCTTCCAGAAATGCCCTATGCATACATAAGTACAGATATATATGTACACGTACACTTACACATGTGTGCATGGGTGTGCATATGTGGCCTATCTTCCTCAAATATTTTTTATACAACTGAGAAAATAGTATACATATGATCTTGGCTTCTTTCATTTAATAATACAGCTTAGAGATTTTTCCATATCAGTACATTTAGAGTTGTTGTATTTCTTATGAATGGCTGTCCTGCATTCCATTGCATGATTAACCAGTCCTCTCTTGATAGACATTTGTTTCACACTTTTGCTATCACAAGTAATAATAATGTACCAAGTATCCTTCTCCATCTATCTTGGCACACACGTAAAAGTATGTAGGCTAAATTCCTACAAGTGGAACCTGATAAAAGTTTTTGATTTACCTATACTTGTGACCAACTGCCGAGTTACCAATCCTCCATAATGGAGCTGCAGTTGGTGAAAGCATCGTTCATTCTGTATTTCAAGCAAGAACCTGATGATGCTTCTGAAGAAAAGGAAGTTGCCTCTCGTCACACACATTGATTCTGGAGTCCAGGTATGTGAGCTCCCCAGGTCCTGGGTTGAGACCAGAGCCCAGGACTTAAGACATCCCTTAAAAAACTGAAATGGTGGCCGGATGCAGTGGCTCACTCCTGTACTCCCAGCACTTTGAGAGGCCGAGACAGGTGGATCATAGGTCAGCAGATCGAGACCATCCTGGCGAACATGGTGAAACCCCATCTCTACTAAAAATACAAAAAGACTTAGCTGGGCATGGTGGCACATGCCTGTAGTCCCAGCTACTCAGGAGGCTGAGGAAGGAGAATTGCTTGAACCCAGGAGGTGGAGATTGCAGTGAGCTGAGATCGCACCATTGCACGCCAGCTTGGGCGACAGAGTGAGTCTCCGTCACAAAACAAAACAAAAAACAACAACAAAAATTTAGCCAGGTGTGGTGGCACAAGCCTGTGATTCCAGCTACACAGAAGGCTGAGGCAGGAGAATTGCTTGAATCCGGGAGGCAGAGGTTGCAGTGAGCTGAGATTGTGCCACTGCACTCCAGCCTGGCGACAGAGTGGGACTTCGTCTCAAAAAAAAAAAATTGAAATGGTACAGGAAACTTACCAGAAACAAATACTGCTCATCCTTACTGACAATGACCGTCTTGTTGTGGAGCGAAGTAGTCAAGCTCTTCGGGTTGCGATAGAGATCAAGAAAGGACGTGGCATAGAAAATCCCATAAACCTGGTAAAAGCAGAGAATGGAAGAGGACATCAGCTCATGGGCCAATGACCTCATTTCCTTGAAATACCCAATTTAAAACCCTGGAACTGCTTCAAAAGAGCTCAGAGAGAAGTATTCATTCAACATTGATTACATTTACAGCATTTACAGAGAAGGCACTTGGGCCAGGCACTGTATGTAGAGCTACAAAAATAAATAAGATGTGGTCTCTGTCCTCAAAGAGCTCATTCTGGAGGAGAGGCAGGCAGAGAAGAAAAACATACGTAATTATAAATAAAAAATGGCAAACACAGAGTATTAGATGCTACACCAGAAACCCACACGATGAGCCAGGGAACGGAGGTGCTATTAAAGAGAGGGTGTCATTCTACCATTGGCAGCATGGATGTGGGCTCCAAGGGGATGTGCTGAGTGCAAAGGAAAGCCATGGGAGGTTACAGAGTAGGTGTGAACACCCCAGGAAGTGTGTGGAGGGAGGGAAGGAGGGCAGATACTGCTGGCTGCAGGGACCCATCCTCCCTTTCTTCCTCAGAACTCTGGTTCTTATTGAGAATTGGTGCCTGGAAAAAACCTATACTGCGCACCTCCCTAAGCTAGGAGAGGGCCAGACAAGGAGTTTCCAGCCATGGAGATGCGGGCAGAAGTGTCACACAGAAAGCCTTAGGAGGGCTCATTACAACAGTGGGAGCAGTCTTCTTCCTGCCCTCCTGCCGCCTGAATATAGATCATGACTGCAGCCCCAGGAAGCCTCTTGGATCATAAGGTAAGCTTGAAGATGCATGCCACAGACTGGAGACAACAGGGCTCAGGTGCCCGATCAAACTGTGCTGCTCCAGCAGAAGCCCTGCACTGCTAAACTCTAAGCTTCTTTTAATTGAGAGAGGAAATAAACTGTTCAAAGCCACTGTTACTGTCAGTTCCTTTGCTCTATGCAGCCCTGTGTAATCCTAACTGCTAAATATTGGAAACTGAGGGAGTTTAAAGCAGGAAAGTGGCAATGAGATGAAGCTTATGGCAGGAAGTGGAAGCTAAGGGAGTTTCTAACCGGAGGGTGGGAGCTGAGGAAGCTTTCATTGTAAGGCAGAATCAAAGAGCATTTTCTCCAAGAGTTATGTGCACAGGTAAGACAGGGGCTTGAAGGGAACTGCAGGAGCTGCAGGAACCATGGGATGAACGGGAACTGAGCAGGATCTGCAAAGAGATTTCCAAGCCCAGGCAACGGAGTGACTCTCCAACACTGCTCAGCAGCTGTGAGAACTAAGCTCGAATGTTTTTAATCTTGCAGCAGGAACTGAGCAGGATCCGCCAAGGGATTTCCAAGTCCAGGCAAAGGGGTGACTTTCTCTAATACTGCTCAGCAGCTGTGAGGACTCAGCTCTGATTTTTAAAATCTTGCCCAAATTCCTATCTAAGGGGTCTGGGGGAGTCATGCCTTACAATTCATAAATTCTCATCAGATGGGTTTTGTGTAATCCTATATGTCGTGACTTACTTTCCAACTTGACTCTGACATAACACTATGAGACTAGGAAGAAAATCAAATATTTTACCCCAAAACATACTTCTTCATCATATTTTGAAATGGCCCTGCAAAGCTGTCCTTCCTGGGGGAAAATTTGCATCTGCAAAGAACCTCTATTAACATAGCTAGATCTTTTTCTTCCAGGCTCTCCCAATCCTAAAGACATTAACTAAATTTTTGCACCTTTGAAAGATCTGGATAGGAAACATTTGTCATCTATTGTCTAAGGGCAGCCACCATAAGACTTCACAAGAAACTTGGTCTCCACAATCTTTCATCTTAACCTGAACATTTCCTTTCTGTTGATCTAAGGTCTTTAGACGAACTCAACCAATTATCAACCAGAAATGTTTAAATTTACCTAAGCCTGGAAGCCCTCCCTTCCCTGCACCCACTTTGAGTTGTCCCACCTTTCTGGACCAAACCTGTGTATTTCTTAAATGTATTTGATTGATGTCTCATGCCTCCCTAAAATGTATAAAACCAAGCTGCACCATCTTGGCCATCTTGGGCACATGTTCCCAGGACCTCCTAAAGGCTGTGTCACTGACCATGGTCACTCTTATTTGGCTCAGAGTTAATCTCTTCAAATATTTTACAGAGTTTAACTCTTTTGTTGAGAGCTGAAAAAGGACAGATGGGAGAGCACAGACAGAGAAAGAGGAAGAGAAGCCCTGAATGAGGCAATCACCTGGGAGGAGGTAGGAAAGAAGTTTAAGGGACTCAAAGGGGTCCCAAAGCAAATGCAAATGGAGCTGCAATGCATGAGATGGAAATAGGCCATGTGGGGGCTCAGAGCAGAGGCAGGATGGCCTCACCGAGGACAAGGCTGGTGACTGCCCTGGATGGGTGTCTCTGGACAGGAAAGGGGTCCACAGAGCCACTGGAGCCAAGGGATGAGAGTTTCCCATATGCACAGGGAAAATGGCACTTCTCACAGTGGACAGGAAAATCATGAGGGTTGCCAGGGTCTTCAGTGAACTAAAGAGGGGCGAAGTAGAGAGCTTCCCACAGGTGATCTCATTTGCATTCTCACCTCTGAAAGCCACCATAAGTGTGACCAGTGCATGAGCTGCTGGGATGAGGGGCAGGAAGGCTCCTCCAACTTCACACACAGTTAGAGACCCTAAATCAAGTCAGGCTTCAGTGTTCTGTGCAATTGTCCAACTCTGGATAGAGTTGGGGGGTGACGAGGCAGTCATGAGCTGCTGGGTATACAAATGAAAAGAAAGGGTACTTTGTGAATAGACTCAGCTTCCAGGTAAGAGAGAGCTCCAGGGATGGCTCAGGGCTTCTCCTCACTGTCCCTGCCTCAACATCAGGTGCTGGGACATAGAAAAGAGCAGAGCCAGACCTGAGCTGAAATTCAGTCTACTGCTTGTGAGAGTGTCAACTCTGGCAAGTTACTTAGCCTCACTGTGCCTTAGTTTCCCTGCTGGCAAAATGGGAGTATTTACCCGCAGAACCAATGACAGGAACAAGGGGAGAATGTGTTCATTGGGTTTCGTATTGTTGCTGGCATACACTGGCTGCTCAGTAAATCTTACTTCTCCTTCCTTCTTCTTCACTGATTTTACACAGTTACTTACAAACTTTGGTTATTTCCCTATGAATCAGCCCTGCACCAAATGCACACTGACGATATCCTCAGAAGATAAGACATAGGCTGCTCATCACTAAGGATTTACTAATTCCTGACTATAAATTTACTTCTATATCCTTTTCTGAGAAAATCCAGAAAATGATCCTTTCCTTCAAGAAACTTACAAACTAGTTAGGAAGGTAAGAGTAACAGACAGAAATTATCAAACAGCGTAAAGCTGTAGTTAACGAAATATCATGCTATATGGAAGCAACTATAAACGTACTAGGAGTTCATAGGGAAAGAGAGCAATGAGAAGGAAGGATTTTCCTGCATACCAGGAGGAGGGAAGGACTCCAAGGAAGAGAAAGGGCATAAGGCAAGAGGGGGATGAAAGTGCCAAGAGCCTTGGGACCATCGACCTAAAAGCAAAGGGGACACACCCAGCAAGGGTGGAAAGTGAAGCACCAGACTCAAAAAGGAGCACAGATCTGATCGCAGTGAATCATAATGCACATATGAAAACAAAGAAAAAGAAAAGACCTATAATCAAGTGCAGCAGGGACACTGGAACATTTGCCAAAGAGAAAAGAGCGCTGGAGTTGTGTGGTGGCTTAACGTTAGGGGAGAGTCCACACTCGCCTTGTGGTAGTTATTCTGGCTGACTCACCACATTCCGGGGGCCAGTCCAGGTACATTCCACTGCAGTCTGATTGATGGCTTTGGCCTTGAGGCTAGGTGCAGGTGGGCAAACCCCTTTGGTCATGACATGCTCAAATGCCAGAGGGCTATCCCCCAAGTCAGTCTTGGCCCAGGCAGAAATCTCATAGGACGTATGAGCTGTCAGATTGCCAACTGTGAAAACAGGAAAAGGAGATTCCAGAAGGAAGTTTGGGGATGTGAGTCAAGGATGTGTCTTGATTTATGCACTCTTTCTTTTTTTTAATAGTAATCTCTTGATTTAAATGAGTTCCACGTACTGTAGGACTGTCATTAGATAACAAATTCATTCAACGTTTATGTACTAATGATGCCTATATGTAACACACTGCACAGGCACTGGATAATTTCTTTAAAGCTGCCCATCCACGGATTTCAGTTGGTACAACGCTCCTGGAAGCCATCTGGTCTTATATAACAAGAACCTTGAAAATCACACCCTTCAGTACAGTTATCCCATGAAGTCAGAGAAAGACTCAAAAGCGTGTTTAACAAGGATCCCCATCACAGTGTTACGGTAGGAAAAAACTGAATATAATTTGATTGCCTAGTCACAGGTTAATAAATAATGTGCATTCCATGAACTACTGTACAGGCAATAAATGTTGTTTCAAAAATATTTAATGACACTGGAAAATTGTCACAATTTTATGTTAAGTGAAAAGGGCAGAAAACAATACTATATATGGCATTCTTCTGATTTTAGAAAAAAGATATAAAGAGGTCAATTTATGGAAAATATATATAAGATATCTGATATGTGAAAGTGAAATTACAGGCAATTTTAATTTTCATTACACTCTTTTTGTTCTCTTAATTTTCTGAAACAAACATGTATCCACTTTCTAATCAGGCGAAATGCTATTAAAAGTAAAAGGAAAGCGACAAGGGGGAGGCTATGCCTTTGGAATCGGAAGGACTGGGGTTTAAGGCCTGACTCTATACTTTGTGATTGTATAACCTTGGGTAAAGTATTTAAACTCTCTACTTCCTTGTTTGTAATATGGAGAAAAAAATAACAGCACTTACAGCAGCTGCCAGCTTGCAGAGAGAAAAAAAGAAAATGCTCATAAAGTGCTTGCCATTAACGCCTAGCATTGTGCTACCCCTAATAGATTTCAGACAACAGCTAGTTAAGACTTCTGCTCCTGGCTCTGCCAGTTCCTACTGGGGCAACACTGAGGCCATGAGACCATAGGTGTTGGAGTTAGAAAGATGTGTGTTCCAATCCTCTCTGCCACCATCTGAGTATGACTTATTCTTTTAACTTTAGTTTTGCTTCTGTAAAGTGGGCATAGCTCACAGAATTATAATTGGGGTGATGTAAACAACACGCATAGAATGCCTGTGTAAATTCTTGCACACAGTAGGTGCTCAATGGACAAGAGTAAAAATAACAACCTCCTTGGGCACCTTGTAGACTTTCAGTTAAGAAAAAAAAAAAAGTAATAGGCTGGACGCAGTGGCTCACGCCTGTAATCCCAGCATTTTGGGAGGCTGAGGCGGGTGGATCACCTGAGGTCGGGAGTTTGAGACCAACATGACCAACATGGAAAACCCCATCTCTACTAAAAATATAAAATTAGCCAGGTGTGGTGCCACATGCCTGTAATCCCAGTTACTCAGAAGGCTAAGGCAGGAGAATCACTTCAACCTGGGAGGCAAGGGTTGCAGTGAGCCGAGACTGTGCCGCTACACTCCGGCCTGGGCAGCAAGAGTGAAACGCCATCTCAAAAAAAAAAAAAAAAAAAAAAAAGCAATAATAGAACATTTGTAGTCTCTATTTTACAAGGCTATAACAAGGACTAAATAAAAATGTGATTGAAAGTACTGCACAGTCTAGAAGACGAAGACAGGAAGAAGCTCCCATTGTCATTCTCAATAGTATCAGGCAGCTTGTGCCACTTAGAAATAAATTAAAATCCGTCCTTTAGCACATGTTTAGATCTAGGATTTTACTGAGACTTACTGCTGGTACATATGTAACAGGGACTGGGCCACTCCTCCCTTAGTTTTTTGTCCATTTCTCCAGGCAACATATATTTACTGAATGCCAGTTATGCATGAGGCCTTCCGCTGCCTCTCATGAGCAATGGAGGAGTGAACCAGACTAGAGAAGAGAGACAGGGAACTACATCTATGAGCTCATTCCTTTGGAAATCAAAACTCATCTGCAGAGAGGTAGTTTTGCCTCTGTCCAATTTTCCTCTTTGTAGCCCCCAACTCCCATTAAGGGTCATGAGGTTAGAGGAAGGCTCAAGGGGCCACCAACTGCATCCCTTTGCCTAGGGTCAGCAGCACACTTACAGGATCCTCAGTGGACAAGAACCTGTCAACGCAGAAAGGCCTCCAGAGAATACCTCCCCTTCCCTGGCACCCCCAATCAAGCTCTGCAGCGGGAAAGTGTCGGACCAGCCTTACTCTTTCCTGTTCACACACTGACCAGCACCAAGGTGTTACCTTTGTGTGACAATATGCTTCCTCGGAAGTTCAAAGTTCTCCTCTCTTGCTTGTGGGTGTCAAACGCCCAGTAGAGGTTCACCACATAGCCATTCACCTGCCAAGAACCAAAAAGCATGTTAGATGAACAGCTAGTCATAGGACACACCAAATACAAAAGGCAGGGTTAAAAATACACCCTCTTCTTGTTGTTTTCTTGGGCATCTCATTTCTTAAACAGGTTGTTTTTAAAACTTTTTAAACAAGTTCTGTTAGTGCTGCCATTCGCTAATATTTAGTTATACTCCACCTGCTTCTAAAAACAAACATGAGACCATTTATAATTTATAGATTCAATGAAACAAAAAAAGAAATGCAGAATAAAAGGACGAGAACCCATTAATAAAGGTAGAAAGAGGAAAAATGGGAAAGATAATTAGACTATGGAAATTAAGGATAAATCCTTGCAGTCGAGGCCAAGTGAAATCTGCTATGCAGATGGGCCAATACAGGGGACAGTGGTGCTGGAAGAGGAAGATCTTAGGTGGATAGAAAGTGGATATGTTTCCAAGGTATTCAACTTTCCCACAAGAAGGTTATTCTTCCACCGTGAGCACCTCAGCATTAGTGCTTAGCACCAGGAAATCCAATAAAGCTGAAAATTACAGGGCATACATATTCTGTTAACACCAACTCTTTATTTGCACTGTAGCTGTGAACCATTTAATTATATGGTTAAGGAAAAAAAGGCACCAGGCTGAGGCAGAATAATTACATGCGAAGACTCAAGTTGTTCTTTGTGGGGGAAGGAACCACCCTTAGTTCTGGTATTTTAGCTCCACTAGATCAAGCCGTTCGTTCCCCCCTTCCCCCAGTCTTACTGTTCTATGTCCTTTTAGCTCCCATACAAAATAAAGCCCCATCCAGCTGCTGGTTTGAAATCCCCACATTACCTTGATATCAGTCTCCACGGTCAGGGTGAAGCTTAGATAATTTTCACCATAGCTGTCAATGTGGATATCTGGCGGTGGGATCACTGAAAACAAACAGGAATTCAAAAACAGAAGCCAAGTGATGAAAATCGAGGAAGGCAGGACTTAACAGTTTTCAACACGACAGACAAAGCCATCATTCAGCTGGGGAAGAAAGGGTATTTCTTTGGTGGTGTTCCTCATCTATCTCTTTTACCACTGTTTTCCTGAAGCTAAGGTTGGTCCACAGTCGCTTGGTGAACACAAAAGTATCTGGCTCAGTCAGCTATCCTGGCAATTAGGTCAGGCAGAAAAGTTCCATTTTGTAAAGTTCCCAAAACAGCCCAGCTTCAGGCTGGTTCTTAAAGGCACAGGGATGATTCACCACAAATGGATCTTTTTTTTATGTATATGTATTTTATTGCACTTTAGGTTCTGGGGTACATGTGCAGAACATGCAAGGCTGTTGCATAGGTACGTACATGGTAATGTGGTTTTCTGCCTCGATCCTCCCATCACCTATATCTGGCATTTCTCCCCACATTATCCCTCCCCAACCTCCCTACTCCTTGCTGTCCCTCCCCTATTCCCCACCAACAGACCCCAGTGTGTGATGCTCCCCTCCCTGTGTCCATGTGTTCTCATTGTTCAACACTCGCCTATGAGTGAGAACCTGTGGTGTTTGTTTTTCTGTTCTTGTGTCAGTTTGCTGAGAACGATGGATTCCAGCTTCATCCATGTCCCCGCAAAGGATATGAACTCATCGTTTTTTATGGCTGCATAGTATTTTATGGTGTATATATGCTACATTTTGTTTATCTAGTCTATCATTGATGGGCAGTTGGGTTGGTTCCAAGTCTTTGCTACTGTAAACAGTGCTGCAATGAACATATGTATGCATGTGTTTTTATAACAGAATGATTTATAATCCTTTGGGTATATACCCAGTAATGGGATTGCTGGGTCAAATGGAATTTCTATATCTAGGTCCTTGAGGAATCGCCACCCTGTCTTCCACAATGGTTGAACTAAGTTACACTCCCACCAACAGTGTAAAAGTGTTCCCATTTCTCCACATCCTCTCCAGCATCTGTTGTCTCCAGATTTTTTAATGGTCACCATTCTAACTGGCGTGAGATGGTATCTTGATTGGCACTAACAAAGTCCCATCAATCTCAAGTCCTTTTGGAAGGCTGACAACGAGATAAATCATACATTGTAAACATGCGTGTGGCAAACTGAAAGAATTTGGCCTCTGGAATCTGGCTGAGTTCGAATTCCTGTTCCGGCTGCTGTGTAACCTGGGCAAGTTACTTATCTTCCTGAGATGTTATCTGCATTTCACAGAGCTGGGGAAGGTTAACTAAAATAATGTATATATGGTGCCTAGCACTCAACCGATACTCTCTTTCTCTCCCTTTCTAATATAGCCTCACATATGGCTGACTAAACAACTAGAAACCAACTGGTGCTCTCAAAAAGATGGGCGCTCAAGCTGAGAGCCGAGGGGGCAAGGAGGAAGTGGCCAAGGAAACGACTCTTCTCAGTTCCACCGATGAGTGCTATGCTTGTTATCTGGAAGTCTGCCCACCAGAAAGCTGACAGTGCTTAGCCCAGCATGATCTAAAAGAGCTCAACGGATCAACATTATCAGAAGGTAATATTTAAATGACAACTTGCCTATTAGACTCTCTGCACATATGCCCCTTCTCTAGACTGGGTAAGAGAAATTCGAAGGAGGAGATAAGATTTGGTGGCAAAAAAGATGTCAAAGTCTGAAGAGGTCTGTCCAGATGATCAGTCACATAATAAAACTAGGCTTCAGGAAAACGCAATCATCGGAAGAAGAAAGGATATTGGAAGCTTCAGGCGGCCAACCAGAGCAAAACAGCGCGGGTGCTGCGTACGGTAAAGCTGACTTGAATTATAATTACGGCAACCAGGGACAAGTCACAATCCACTCCAAACCCCAGTTTCCTTAGCTATACAGTGAGGATAAGGATACTTATCTCATAGGATTCATAAGGATTAATAAGAGATCAATTCACAAGCAACAATAGCACGGTGCTTAGGGTGTAAGAAGTGCTCAGGGAATGGTGGCTTTTCTCACTGTCATCACTAATCCACTACATTCACCAATTAACCTGGCGCGTGCACTGATGCCGCTGCTGTCTTTGTCCTTCGTCTTCTTACTTTATTACAATACCAGGTCACAGATATTTCACAACGAATACTTTTTGGATGCAGCCTACAGCTGCCTTCTGTACAAATCCTCGCCTAAATATATGCAAGGAGCTGAGATTCGTCAAAATCACAGAAAAGAAGTTAGAGAGAAGCAACCACCTACGGAGACTTTCAAATGCAATTGTGACTTGTGCCTTGGGAATTCAAGGTACATGTTTTTTGTCATCCCTTCTTCTTGGTATGTGTGGTCAGTGTTTTGAAACAGATTTGGTAGAGAGAAGTGATAAAACAATAAAAACTCTTAAGAGAGTGTGAATTCAGCAGGCTTTCTCTAATACCTGCAAGCATTCTGCTCCAAAGACCGTCTGGTAGCACTACGTTTGGCTGCCTTGGGCCCTGATCTCAAAGGCTCCAGATTTTAGAGAGGACCAGATAGTGCCTCTCCATGACCCTAAGCCTATTCCTCACAGGCTCAGGTTAAAATCTCCCAATCATATTGCATGCCACAGTGTCCATCTGGTTTTAATACCTGGAATTCCAGAAATGCAAGTCGCCTGTGCTAAGGCTAAGGTCAGGAAAACCGCTCTGGAAGATGGGTTGTGGTCTATCTCCCAAAGTGTGCCAGATCCCTTCATTTAATTGCTTTGATTCACTCCCTCATCAATTATTTCCTTAGTTTCTACTAGATGCCCATAATAGAGGAAAGAAAAACAGACCAGACCTCTGCCCTCATGAGGTACTCGTGCAAGATGCTAAGCCCACCACCCCCGGCAAGCAGGGTTGTCTAGTAGGCCGCATGTGTCTCAGCCCAGAGAGAAGCGTGGAGCACAGTGGTTAAGAGCACAGGCTTTGGAGTCAGGCAGATCAGGTTCCAGTGCCAACTCTGTCACTTAATGATTGTGTGGCCTGGGGCAAGTGACATAACCTCATTCCAGGCCCTTATCTTTTCTTGTAGGTGTTCTGAGGGTTCAATTAGATGAGCTGATGTATGCAAAGCAGTGAACACTCTGGAATGCCCTGCCCTTGGCAAGCCGTCAGTTATTACTAATATCAGCGCTAGTACAAGATAAAAAACCACCTACACATAGTTTGCCAGCGCTACTGGGAGAATAACAAGAATCAGCACGGTGCTTTCTTTAAAGCATCATAAATGAACATGCACAAAATCATCTTCCACTTTGGCAAGAAGGAAGGACTCCTTCTATTTTAGATATTGTGACCACCCACAAAGGGCTGGGCCTGATGGCCTTTGGAAATCCCTTTGTATGTCTGCATTAGAAGAAATGTTCAATTCTAGGAGGAAAAATACACTCGGTCACCCCAAAAAGACTTTGTATCTAAAGTACTGCAGAGGCACCGAGAAGTCTGCGTGTTAGGGAAAAGGAAGTCGTGTGACGTTTTCTAAACTACGCTTCTCCATTTTCCAATCATATTGAAAGTCATTTTGAAAGAGTTTCTATAATATCTTCTCTAAATCTGCAAATGCTGGAATCATTTACCTTTTCCTTTTATGGTGGTAATGCTTTTAGAATCGCTCCAGTTTCCTATTCCACGACTAGTCACCGCAGCCACCTTTTCAAATCAGAGGGTGAATTAGTATGAAATAAAGGCAATACACCATACAGCAAGAATACTGAATGAGCTAAAGGGGTGAGATTTTGGCAGTGAGGGTAGAAAAATTATATACAGAGTGATCCAGAATATTCAGAGGCCCTAGAATCTGAAACAAGAGGGTAAAAAAGCAAAGAGAAGGTACTTGGGTAAAAGGCATTATGACAGTGCTAAGATCAAAAAACTTCTATTGATCAACAAATATCAAAGTTCTTCTAAAGGGCAGGTATATGGGGGGGAGGTGTTCACAAACACACACATATATAAAAAGGGTACTGACAAAATTATCAGTGTAGGAGTCATGAATGTATACACTTACTGGTCTCAGCAAACACGTTTTGCACAAAATCTATCTCTTTCTGCTAAAATATATTTCATAGGAATCTCACAAAAATCAGTTTAGAAGGACTACTTATCATAGCTCTGCAACATACTCCAGCTAAAGATAAGCAGAAAAGAGCAGAGAGAGAAAGTATAGGAGCTGGAAAGCTAGCAGAGTATCAGCATTAAAAGCAGGGAAAGCTGCATTCCCATAAAGCTCAGTTATCTGCAGAAAGTCTGACATCAAGCTCTTTGTGGTATTCGTTTGAAACTCTGAGCTCCCCCACCCCAGGACAAGAAGTTGGGTATTTTGCACATTACTAATATGCATTTCGTAAAGGTGAGTAGAGAGTTCTCACAAAATAGCAGCAATCTCGCTCAGTTCTAAGACTGCCTGGATGGTGACACTCACTCTGACGGTGTATAGGGTGTTGACCATTAAGTTCGTGATTTCTGTAAAGTTACTAGCAGCCCTCTGGGAGGCCCACATCTTGGAACCACTCCTGCTGTACTCTACCTGAAGTGAGAAGAAAAAAATGTGAGTAAAGGGAACCAAAGGTCCAGGGCATCCAAATATGTCTTGCAAAAAGACTAGAGGAGAGAAAAGAAGGTGAGGAGCCAAATGTTCTGATGGATGATGGGTCATCACCTACAAAGCTATACCAAATCAACCCCAAGTCACACAGAACACCCAGAAATCTCCTAGACCCCCAACACACATATGGCCAACTCCTGGAAGATACTTACAATGTACTCACGGATGAGGCCATGGGTGTGGATGGGAGGAGCCCAGTGACCTACAATCGCACCTTCTGCTTCCCTGGGGAGTGACAGCTGGAGATTCCGAGGGGCATCCGGCACTAGCAAAAGAGTCAACTAGAGGTTAAAACCCATCTGCTTGGTGGTCAACCTGAGGAATTTTCCTGGGCTTAGAGTAAGGACAAGAAAGACTCCACAGCCAGCATTGAGACCCATCCACTGGAAAGGCTGCTAGCTTGGTCCTCACATTGACAAGACACTTATCCTTTTCTTCCAGAAAGCAAAGTGTGCCATCTACACATCATATCATGGCTCAGTTGCGTGTGGTAAATTTGTGGCTCATAAGGGCTGCAGCATAGAGTAACTTGGGCAGGCTGAGTCACCACTGACCCTGAGACTTCCATGCTGAGATCTTAATTGTCAATGACAGCACCTGCTGCCTCTGCTTCTTATGCAACAGAAACAGAGTACTGTGGGCATGACTGCCAAAAAATAAGACTAATTTTGTAACATCACAGAATTTCTATATCCAAATGAATGTGATCATCTTCAAAGCAGGCTCCTTAATGAGTTTAGTGCTAGCATATTTGAGATACTTTAGGCAATGGAAAGAGATGGCATTCAGGCAGACAGTTGCTCATGTCGATTACTTTGAAGTAGGGAGGAAGCAAGGAACTCTTTCAGACACATACATTTGGTAAATTTCTTAAAAACTTAGCCACAAAGCCAGGCGCAGTGGTTCAACCCTGTAAACCCAGCATTTTGGGAGGCTGAAGTGGGTGGATTGCTTGAGCTCAGTAGGTCAAGGCCAGCCTGGGTAATATGGCAAAACCTCATCTCTACAAAAATACAAAAAGTTAGCTGAGCATGGTGGCACACACCTATAGTGCCAGCTATGCAAGAAGCTGAGGCGGGAGGACCACCTGAGCCTGGAGAGACTGAGGTGCTGAGCAGTGATTGCACCTGCACTGCACTCCAATCTGGGTGTCAGAGTGAGACCCTGTCTCAAAAAAAAAAAAAAACTTAGCCACGAAATTGCTGATATGCATCATATTTTAATGACAATGACTTCCTAAGTGCCAAGTACTAGGAAATATGTAGAAAAGGAAGGTAGAGGTAGAGACTAGACAAAAAAACTGCAAGAGGGAAATGGCGGAGAGAATCTTAAATTAACTTAAGGTACAAAAAAAGTCTCTGATGCAGTAAGGAGAACAGATATTCAACAACTCTGGCAGGACTCAAGCTTAGCCACAATACTTCCGTACATGTGAGGCACGTATGTTCCCACATTCCTGAGAATACTCGGAAAGATGTTCACAAAACCCCACCTGAGGTGGTACACATGCCATAAAAATAAACTGTAACACTTACATCCCTCCGGGGTCCTCAGGGTCACAAAGTCATTGGTGTTGTGTGCCTTGCTGAGACACTGAACCTGCACTTTAACCTGATATGTGGTATCTGGTTTTAAGACTTTTAATACGGTGTTTGTCTTATTGCTGTGGGTCTCCAGAGTCTTCCATATGCTCTCTCCAACCACCCTGGCCAAAAAATAAAAAATAAAGATATTGTCACACTGGAGCAGCACGGGGGCTGAGATGTCTAACTCAGTCAATAAAGAGTCACACAGTGCATGCCACTAGAGAGTTTTAGAACATCCTGGGGCAAGGAAGACATCATTTTCATCTCCTGTGGCAGACAGGACCCACCTATAGTAGACATTATATACACAAGAAGCAGAGGGCATTTTTTTGGGCCGCATCCAGGTCAAAGTCACATCCCCAGAGAAGTCAGCTGTCCACTGAAGATTCTGTACTTTGTACACAGTTAACTCATCTAGAGAGATAAAGGAGAAAAACTCAAAAAAAGTTATATCTTGGCTGGGTGTGGTAGCTCATGCCTGTAATCCTAGCACTTTGGGAGGCCGAGGTAGGTGAATTGCCTGAGCTTAGGAGTTCGAGACCAGCCTGGGCAACATGACTAAACCCCATCGCTACTAAAAATATTACAAATAAAAAAAGAGTCATATCTTACAAACCCTTAGACTTCAAATACCCCTGCTTTTAAAAACTACCATGATCTAGATTATCAAGAGGCCATTATCATTATCTGAAAAGAATCTCAGAAAATATAGTTGAAACCTCCCTACACAATCCCTCCTAGGGTCTCCTACATTACTGGTCATGATATTTTCCCTTGAATTCCATCTTCCTCCTGCCTATGGCAATGTAAGCCTATTTCTCAATAGAGAATGCCACAAGTCCAAGGACCATGTCAGGGCAGTGTCCAGAGATAAGAAGTGAGTTAATCCCACCAGCAGATTGAGACTGTGAGAACCATGGTGTATGGGCATGAGGTAGGAAGACCACCAAAAACAAATCCAAGACCAACATTTCACTAACAGAGAGGAGAGAGCTGCACGTTACATCAGAGTCTGGCCAACCCTCACCTCACTTGGGGCTCCAAAACTAGGCCCAAATCTGTTTCATCCTCAGATTAAGAAAAAGTTCAGAACAGTCCTAGCTCAAGATCTACACAGGAGGGACCCTGGGGTAAGCGAGCTGCCCTGCCCTGCCCAGCCCAGCCCAGCCTTGCCCGTGAGCCTTTACTCACCACTGCAGGCCTTCTCGTCGCTCTCGTCTGAGCAGTCCAGGAAGCCATCGCAGCGCTCTGAGAGCACAATGCAGGCCTCCCCATCCTCGCACTTGAACTCCCTGCTCATGCAAGTCAAGGTGCTGTGTGTGGCTGAAACACAGAGAGGCTTCTTAATCCCATGGGGAGGGAATGTATGGTACTAAGGGCTGGGCAAAGTGGTTAGAATTCTTTGAATCGGCTTCTGCTTCAAAACACACCTCTGGAATGAGAAGTGATGGAATCTACACAGGCACTGAGGTGCCATCTCATCTAACACTAACAATTGAAATCTGCATTCAGGAAGAGTGAGTATTTTGGAGTCAGATAAACCAGAGTTTAAATCCTTTATCTGCATGAGCTTGAGGAAACTGCTTAATACCTCCCAAGTTCAGTTCCCCCATAAAAAATGGAAGTAGCAATTCCATCACTGCCATGGCTGCAAGGATCTAATGAGATCACACACCTGGAACAGTGCCTGGCTCCTGGCTGGCATCGCTAAACTGTAGCTACTAGTCTACAGTACTATTAATTATTCTGCTACTAATTAGTTTGCAGTCTAGAAAGAGGAGCTTATTTCTGGTTTGAGAAATACAAATAATAATGAGATGGATCCCAATAATATTAAGAGGCATGCATACTTTATGTGGTGTTTTACATTCTTTGGCATTTCAAAGTACTTTCGCAGAAAATGAAATAATGCAAATAATGAGCCTTGGTAAGTTAAGAGTTATGCAACTGTATGGCTAGGCTATTCACCGAAATGTGACGTGCTTTCCAGTTCTGAAAGTAGATTTAAACTGCATGGGGGCTCTAAAAAGAAAGCAATGACCATATAATTGCAAATGATCCTAAAAAGAGGAAAGGTGAGATTGGCTGTTAACAGCAAATCTGCTATGCAAGCTGAGTGCCTGGGTGGTACAAATCTGCTCTGTACCCATGTACAATAACTCCTGGCCTTCATTATACAGATTCACACCTGTCTGCCCAGTCCTGGACAAGGAAGGGCTCCTTCAGAAATCCAAGCCCACCAGTGATGAGGGTCTGAAGTCAATCTTGTTCCTCCAAGTCAAAGATGTCCACATCCTAATCCCTGGAACCTGTAATATGTTGCCTTATGTAATAAAAGAGACTTTGCAGGTACGATTAGATTAAGGACCTTGAGATAGGAGAGTTCAGTCTGGATTATCCCGGTGGGCTCTGTCTAATGACATGGGTCCTTAAAAGCAGAGACCAGTTTTTGGCTGTGGTCAGAGAAAGAGAGAAAACAGAAGAAAGGTCGGAGACATGCAACATCATTGGCTTTGAAAATGGGCTGTAACAGTAAAAAGGAGGCTGAGCATGAATTACTCCATCCTGCTCCCTATACCCAGCCCCCTGCTCATGGTGACATCTTGTAGGTTAATGGCCTCTGCTTATCTCTGCACATAGGCCAAGCTAACTATGGAAGGAATTTTGTTTATAGTTTGATTTTAAAGCAAGGATGATAATACTCCCTTCCTGAAACTAGCCCCTGAGGAAATATGGAGGGTGTACACACCAGTAACAAGGCTATGTTAACGATAATATGAGCATTGTGACCTGAGCAAGGAAGCCCCACCTCAGACCAAGGCATGTGGTCATGGGTCAACTCTTGACCGGGACTCCCTCCCTCTTCTCCCTTTTCCTAACATAAACAACCACACTTGGAGATGTAGGTAGAGAAACTGGACAATGTTCCCATGAGAGCAACCAGGATGGTCAAGAGGAATGGATAAAGGATCCAGGGATATTTTCCTAGAGATGAAAAGATGTAAGGAGGTGGGGCGGTAGCGAGAAGAGATGCAGACCACTTTCACAAGTGTTCTCCACTGATGAGTTTTCATGTGAAAAAAGAATTAAGACTTCTTTGCATGAGTATCCAGGATGGAGGTACAGACTTCAGTTCATTGCTTATTAAAAAAAATAATTCTGATACAGAAATTGTCAGTGGGAGAAGGAAACAATCAAAATCACTTAAGAAGCTTTTCATAAACTCTGATCCCCTGTTCCCCAGGAAAGTCATTGCATTTCAGAATTCTATTATATACTGAGCTGAAATGTGTTTTCCTTGTCGAGGGAAGCTCACAACAAATAAAAGTGTATTCAAGAATTAGAGAAAGGTTTGAAAACCACTACTGTAATAGCCTGAGAAGGCCAAGGTGGAATTCATCCATCCATCCAGTGAACATTCATGGAGGTCCTACCATAACTCAGGCACTGCTCCAGATGTTAAGAATATGGGACATGTAAAACAGATGCAGGGCCCGCCCTCATGGAGCTTATCTTCTATAAAGAGAAACTGCAAACAAGTAAATAAATATGATCAGGTTATGCCATTTTATATAGGACTGTCAGGGACAGACTCTGCTCAGAGGGGATTATTTTGAAAAATACCAAAACCCCCATTGCAGAAGTATTCCACTTGGTAACAATGTGGTAAAATATAATCACACAACAGCTAAGTAGTAAAGCTGAGGATGCCGGAGGTTTCTTTATAAAGTGTGTCTCAAAATTTTAAAAGCAAAAGAGCATGGGCTTTAGACTCTGTAAATAAGCCAGGTGCGGTAGTATGCACCTGGAAACTCAGCTACTTGTGAGGCTGAGCCTGGACTACTTGAGGCCAGGAGTCTGAGACCAATCTGGGCAACATAACCAGACCCTGTTTCTAAAAAAAGGAAAAGAAAAGAAAAATGCCTTAAATTAAAACAAAACAAAACAAAACAAAAAAAAAACAATAGAATCTGGGAATAAGGTTGTCATTAATCTCTGAAAATTCTCAAACTGATAATTAAACAGATGATTAATAGGCACTTAGAAAAGAACTTAGGGGCCTTCAGGGGATAGCTTCTCTAAAAAGAATCGTACCATACTAATCTCATTTCATTTTTAGATAAGGTTATCGAGTTAATGTTGGGAAAAAAGCTGTGGATATAACACATCTTGATTTTAAGACCCTTAACTGGGCAACTTCCTTGTGAATAAGCCAGATCGGTAACAGGCTGAAAACACTGATCTACAGAATGCCAATGAATTAGTATCACCCAGCAGGAAGGTTCTATTTCCTTTCTCTTTCTTCATTATCTCCTGTGTTCATCTTAGTATATGGTTGCTTATTTGGCTCAGACGTTCCCACTGTTATTTTGGTGAGTGTGGAGTCAACCTGTCCCTGTTGGTTTAACACTCCAGAAGTCCACTTTGTCCGTTCTTTTAATCTAAGTGTAGAATTGTACACTAATCCCTATTCAGTTCATCTGTGTTAGTTTTGGTGTATTCTTCCCTGATGAGAACTTTAGACATGGCTTTCAACCTAAATAAATAACCCAGTCCAGTACTGACTAGGTGATTCTCTTAGAACCTTATTCTCCTACCTCGAAAAAGGAGGTAATACCAAAATCACAGTTATTTTGAGAATTAAGTAGGATGAACACATGATTTGCTTGAGAATACTGAATAGCACATTAAAACCCACCACCAAAGGTTAGTTTCCCTTTGTAAATCCTGATTGTTTTGCCAGAAAATAAGCAATCTGGGCAACTTATATTATCTGCAAGCATGACAGGCATGCCCTCCCAGTTTTCATGTGGTCATTAATGACATTTTAAAGAAAATACGGCCACTTTAAAAAGCATCAGAAAATACTGCCACAGCAAATAGAAAGAGTGAAGCAGAAGCAGCCTGAAAAAGACAAGTGAGAAACAAAACAGCCAAAAGCAAGAAAGTAAACAGGCACAAGAAAGTAACGAAAGAAATATAAAGCGATAGAATGAGAAATAAGGATCTTTTAAGGCTTATCAAAGGCCACCACATCCTGATAAACACTGAAGAACTTTAAAAAAAACCACACACACAGCAGGAAAATTAATTATATTGAAGACAAAACTCCATCAGCAAATCCAAATGCTTAATTGTGCAAACTTGCATTAACTTTGAAAGTAAATGACCAAGCTCAACCTTACAACGGATAGACAAGACAAAGAAATGAGAAAGAGATGCAATATGGAAAGGTCAACCAGGGAGATGAAAACCGTCCTCACCATCTGAATTTATTTGGTTTATTTATACAGATTTATTTATTTATTTCTATGGATTTATATGTAAGTATCAAAAGATATCAAATTATCTTTTTTTTTTAATTGCATAAATTAACCCATCTATTATAGACCAGTGATGTCTCAAAGAGCAGAGGAGCATCTACCGGTCTTTCAATTCCTTCAGTCTTCTGATGGCAGGCTTTACTGTGACAGTGGAAGTGGTACTAAACGTCCAGGCACCGCCAGCCACTGTCTTCATGCAGGAACCACAGTGCCAGATCCCCACAGCTCGTCTCTTCGTCTTGGTTTTGCCACAGAAAGAGCAAGTGTACTTGGCATGCTGGCTGATTTCAATTTTCTTCACCATTTTCTGGAGGGGCCCATAGCGGGTCCCGTATTTACTGACGATCCCAGCTTTCTTGGTACGTTTGGCCATGTTGTCGGTCCGAGCCCAGAGAGGAAGATGATATCAAATTATCTTAACCTTTTTGTTCCTAGGTTCCAGGTAACAAGTGGTATGTTCTGGACAGAGAGAAATCCACCCCCAAAATGGATCCGAAACTACTCAATTCCTGAGTTCCAATGGAAATAGTTTAGCAATGAAAGATTCCTTACAATCTTCTTAAACTAAACTAAATAAATAAATAAAACAAAAAGAAATCACCCTACCTTGGAAATTGACAAACTGTAAAGACTCAAAGTGTATTTCTTGGAAAAAAGACCCCTAGGTAGGAACTTATCCAATTCCTTGATTTTAATCAGAGAAAAGACACTTTAGGCAGCTGAAACAAAAGCAGAAGTGACATTCCTGGAGATGAAAGGATGCATGAAAGAGGGGGTCCTCCTGGGACCCCTGCAGAAAAAACGAGTGTTAGGAGAAAAACTTTCGCATGGTGGAAATAAATTAGTTTCATATTTCGAGTTAAGGACAAGCCAAGATGATTTTTCTCTCAAGTCAGAGCACATTGAGGCCTAGAATGAAATCCATCTCCAGAAGTCCATCACTGCAGACATCATCGTAAGGAACAACGAAAAGTGTGAAAACTGGCAAAGACTCATTCCAACCGGCAAGCGAAGATCACGAGCACTGACAGTTATTGTTGTAAAATGAAAAGGAAGACAGCAATGCCCCCTCTGGATTCTAACCTCCCTTTTCACTTTCTACCAGGATGACTCGCACTACCTTAGATGTTAATGTCAATCAACGAACCCATCATCATGCCTAGCCCCACCCAGGGAAAGCTGCAACTCCTCATCCTCAGTATTCTCCCACGTAGCTGGTAGCATCAGTTTTCACTGTCATTCTGTGGGAAACGCTCATCCTTCCCTTTCCCTAATCACCATGGCCAAATAACTCACTGGATGCTGTTAATAGTACCTCCAATATACAGAGAGGTCACTCTTCCTTTTTTACCTTCACAGTCCCATCAAATTAGTCTCCTAATGGGCACTGGCCTCCAATCTCACCTCAGCCTTCTTCTAACCCATTCCCCCCATGATGAAGTCCAAGTGATCTAAGATACAAACACCCCACCCCTGAAATCTTCAATGGCTCCCTGGGACCAAGAAAATAAAATTCAGTCACAGGGGTCTCCCTATCTACGTCATGCCTACCTCTCTGCTTTCACCTTTGTCCCACCCACAGCCACTCTACAGGTCTGTTTTCTTATGCATCTGAGCCTTGGCTTATATATGCTCTTCCCTGTGTCTAGAATGCCGGTCATCCGCCACCCTGTCCCACGACTGTCCAGGCATCATCGTTGGGGATGCCTCTCCCGGCCTGCCCCCACCTCTCCAGGAAGTTGGCCAGGCTCACCTTCGAAATATGCCAGTTCTTTGGATAACTTCTGCTACTACCTAATCACTGCTCCCACTAGAATCTGTATTGCCAGTCACCAGGCACTGTGGCTCAGGCCTGTAATCCCAGCACTTTGGGAGGCCAAGGTGGGCAGATCATTTGAGGTCAGGGGTTCGAGACCAGCCTGGCCAACATGGCAAAACCCTGTCTGTATTGAAAATACAAATATTAGCCAGGCATGGGGAGTGCATGCCTGTAATACCAGCTACTCAGGAGGCTGAGGCAGGAGAATGGCTTGAGCTCGAGAGGCAGAAGCTTCAGTGAGCTGAGACCCCACCCGCTCCTGCACTCCAGCCTGAGTGTCAGAGTGAGACAACATCTCAAAAAAAAAAAAAAAAAAAAAAAAAATTGTGTTGCCAGAAACCCAATCAATGCCTGCCAGGTTGTGCATGATCAAGGAAAAATTTGTCCAACCGGACTGAAGATGTTACTGGATCCACACCCCTTCCTCTTAACCAAGACTCTCCAAGGAGGGCCCAGTCCAGCACCCTGTGGAGAACAGTGCTACAGATAGAGAAGGGACAGCTGACTTCCTCTTCCTTTTCTCCCCAAGCCTCACTGGGTGAACTATTTAGGACAGAGCAGTACTTGCCAACCTTGTCTGATGCTAAGAATCAGACAGAGCACTTTTAAAAGGCTTGGATTCCCAAGCATTTCCTCCACCATTGCTCTTGATTCAGTGGTCTGAGGTGAGATCACCAAATTCACATTTCTCATAAGCACTTCCACATGATCCTGCTAAGTCCCATAAATTTTGTAAATACTGAATTAGAGGAATTAAAAGATGACTAACCTCGACCTCAGCTTCTCTTCTATCTCCAAATGATGAGATTTGGTGGGTTCCAACCGAGGCTCAGTTTTTCATTGGTTGAGGAAGTCATTATTTTGAGATTTTAAAAATGGGACTAGAACAGAGATCAAGGTGGAGGAACTGAGGCATTTGCTGCTTAGGGTTAGGGCTGGGGGAGCGGCACTCAGCAGAGAATGAGAGGGGCTTTTCCACCCTCTTCTACATTCACCAGGGCAGGAATTAGGCAAGCATGGAAGAAGCCCTCGTCCTGGCAAGAAAGGGAAAGTGACTGGCTAGGACATCTGCTGTCTGCAGCCAGCAGGAACTGGATGGAGGGAAGACCTGCAAAGCAGGGATCCCTGAGCCAGAGCAGTACCCCACCATCAGAGAGGCAGGCTGGTAGGGGGCTGCAGGGGCACTGTCCCAGCCATGCCCTTCCCAGTCTGCTACAGTAGGGCAGACCAGCCAGTGGTGGCATTAGCACGCAGCCAGGGACTTGAAAAGTGCTGACAGGACACATGAGGATCAAACGCTTGCAGAAGCCAGTGTCCCCCTCCACTCCATCATTCACTCCAAGGATCCTCCCTGGGTACATCAGAGGACCAAACACCAGGACCCACTGTGTTTGAAAATTACCATCTCCAAACCTGCAGAGAATGCATGCACTGCCTCACACTGGGCTCAGATGATTATTCCCCATGCGGCTTAGCACACCATCTTACCAACCACAATTACCCTAAGGGCTAGGACTGAATTTCCTTAATGGAGTGCCAGAGGCGAACCTTCTAATAACACGGCCTCTATGCCCAGTAAGTGCTCACTAAATACTTCCAGAATGAATGCACATACAGAAAGAGTTGTGGCTTTACCCATGGGTGTTTTTAAAGTGTTAAATGTGCCTACAAAACCTATTTAAAATATTTATCTCAGTCATTCAAAAAGTATTTTTATTGGACATCCTCCTGGTATTTAAAATGCAGCCAACTTATTAAAAAGGTGACTAACACAATGATACGGGTGCATGCTGCAAAGCTCCTGTGAAGAACGCAGTAAAAGCATGGTTGGCAAAAGCGCGCAGGCTCACACACGGGCGTATGCTGATCCAGAAATGAAGCAGAAGCACTGGAAGTGCGCTCTCTGCAGAAACATGCCCGGGGGTGAAGTGCCCTCTGAATACTCACGGCAATTGGCCTCGTCCCGGCCATCCTGGCAATCTCGGTGGCCGTCACAGCGCTTCCAGTTGGGAATACACTTCTTTGGTTGGTGGCATTCAAACTCAAACCGGTCACATCGCCCAAGTTGGGTGGGAGTGGAGGCAGCAGTGACATTTGCTAAAATAAAAGATTTTTAAAATTCATGTTTTAGTGTTAAGAGAACTGGCCAATAACAGTAACCAATCAGTGTGCTAGGAAATTACGGTGCTTTGGAAATTACACTGGGAACCTGAAGACAAATATGAGTTGTGGATAGAGAGCAGAGTAGAAATAGGTATCTAATGTGGCTTCCCCCCAGGGTCCCACTAAAGCCACAGTGAAGGGACTGTTTTCAAAGACCTAAATCTGCAAGGACGTGGATAATGGGAAAGGAGACAAAAGCAACCATATCTGGGGGCTGGAAAGAAGACAGACAGTGGCATGTGACCAAAGAGGCCAGCGAAGGTTGTATCCCACCCTAAGCAGCACAGGAGAAAGCTCAGAACCCAGCAGATCAACAATACGTAATCCTCAAAAAGGTCAGAAACTGGTGTCTCTTAACTGGGAGTGAAGCAGAAGGAGTTAAAACAAGGGAACTGACTGAATGACGTTTAAGACACAGCTACATTCCCTATATCCCCTCCTATCAGTCCCGCAAGACAACCAACCACATGTCACCCCAACAGAAGAATGGAGGGTTGTTTGAAGAGGGTAAAAACAAAGCGTCGTTTAGACAAGCACAGTTGAGAGCAAGTATATCCTACAGGTGAAAGGGGGATTAAACCTACTTATGGGAGCCCCAGTCCTCTTCCCTGAGGATCTTAGTCCTAAGGTCATTATTGTCCAGTCAGGAGAGCTAAGAATCTTCTCTGAGGAAAATGACCAGCTTCAGAAACTAACCCTGAAGTGACCAAAATTCGGAGTTGCCCTATGGTTCCCAGCCGCGAACCTCGAAGTGGACAAGCCCACCCACGTGCTCAGAATTACTTAGAAGCACTTTAGTCCCCAGCCTTAAACACAGCAGCAACCAAGGACTGTCTGAGAAAAAGCTTTGACATGAAAGACAGAAAGCCAAACAGAGCTCCCAACCCCCAAACAGGCCATTTGTAGGAAACAGATTTGCAAGAAGAAAACTTCAAAAACAAATATCCTTGATATGTTCAGAAAGAAAGAATATTTATCCATGGAGGGGGAAAGAACAGGATACCATAAGAAGGCACAGGGGTAAAGATGGAAAAACTCTTAAAACGGTGACATCAAAAACGAAAAACTCGACAAAGAGTTCAAATATAAAGTTGAGTAAATCTAGAAAGTGGGGGAGAAGAATTTTCAAAAACATAAAAGATTAAAAGAAAAAAGAAGAAGACCAGATCAGGAGACAACATATGAATGACAAGAATTCCAGGAAATAAGAGAAAACAGGGAGAGAAATACCATTAATAAAATATTTCAAGAAAAATTCCTTAAACTAAAATATATAAACGTCCATAATCAAAGTACATGCAAGCATCCACCACGTTGGATGGAAAGGGTCTCACAGCAAAGCACATCACTGTGAAATTTTAAAACGCTGGTGCCAAAGGGTTAAAAACAGGTTACATACAAAAAAAAAAAAAAATCAGAATCAAGATTGCTTTTGGATTTCCCAAAATCTGCTTGAAGGCAGTGGAACAAAACCTTCAAAATTGTGAAGTAAAATTACTTACAATGTAGCATGCCAGACACAGCCCAACTATCAATTAAGTC